ACACACACACACACACACACACACACACACACACACACACACACACAGTATACGTTTTAAACAATTTAATACTGTACACAGCAATGATGATTGTGAAGCTTGGTTGAGGTGATGGAGTCAGAGGGTGGGATATTTCCCAGGGAATGCCTTGCTGCTAAATGATGAACTAGCACTCAGCTGACCCCTCAAGTGTTAACACATTGTTGTTAATGTAGCCTCACACTCTACAATGCAGCACGAATAGAGGGAGGAGATACAATAGTCGCATGGCAGTGGCTGCAAACATTCCCTGCGGAAACTGAACATGATGATGAACCCACTCTATACACTAGAGCGCACCACTCCCTCCACTTTCCAAAGTGCCAGAGGGTGCATGCGTGCGAGAGAGAGACACACACGTGTGTGTGTGTGTGTGTCAGAGAGAGAGAGAGAGAGAGACGCACATCGCCCCATTAAGTACACTGACCCCACTCTAAGTACACTGCCTTTTTAAGTAGATCAGCAAACTCCCTTCCTCCTGAGCCATCGTGTCCCCCGTCTGCTCTGTGGAGATGGGGTACAGGAGCAGGGGGCAGGAGAGGGGGACACCCTGACATCAGCACCCCACTTCCACTCCACAGCAAGCAGGAGGCTCCCGGGAGCAGCTCCAAGGCAGAGGGCAGGAGCAGCACACGGCAGTGGGGGGAGGGACACTTGAACTACCTGATACAGTAACTCCTCATTTAAAGTCATCCCGGTTAACGTTGTTTCGTTGTTACGTTGCTGATCAATTAGGGAACATGCTCATTTAAAGTTGTGTAATGCTCCCTTCTAACGTCATTTGGCAGCCGCCTGCTTTGTCTACTGCTTGCAGGAAGAGCAGCCCCTTGCAGCTAGCTGGTGGGGGCTTGGAACCAGGGTGGACCAGCAGCCCCCCCATCAGCTCCCCACTCCCCTAAGTTCCCTGTGCAGCAGCTGCCTGCAGTTCAGCTGTGTCCCTCCCCCCACTGCCATGTGCTGTTCCTGCCCTCTGCCTTGGAGCTGCTCCCCGAGACTCCTGCTTGCTTTGCTGGGGGGGGGGAGGAAGAGGGAGGCTAATGTCAGGGTGTCTCCCTCCCCCCTGCTCACCCCATCTTCCATAGAGCAGGGCTCAGGACGGAGGGAGCTTGCAGCTGTGGTCTCAGCAAGCTGATCTAATTAACAAGGCAGTGTACTTAAGGGAAATGCGCATATCTCCCTCCATTCCTGCTGCCTTGCAGAGTGAGAGAGTTAACCCTTGAGGGCTCAGCTAATTGCTAGTTCATCATTTAGCAGTAAGGGAAATATCCCACCGTCTGACTCCTCCACCTCAACCAAGCTTCACAATCATCATCACTGTGTACCAGTATTAAATCGTTTGTTTAAAACTTATAGTGTGTGTGTGTGTGTGTGTGTGTGTGTGTGTGTGTGTGTGTGTGTGTCTTTGTCTGGTGAAACAAAATTTCCCTGGAACCTAACCCCCTCATTTACATTAATTCTTATGGGGAAATTGGATTCGCTTAACATCGTTTGCTTAAAGTCGCATTTTTCAGGAACAAAACTACAACGTTAAGTGAGGAGTTACTGTAGTGGATAATCTGCTGGGCAGCTGCAGAACAGGGTACTTAGGGGAGCTGATGGGGGGCTGCCGGCCCACTCTGGTTCCAAGCCCCCACCAGCTAGCTGCAACAGGCTGCTTTTCCTGCAAGCAGTGAACAAAGCAGGTAGCTGCCAAACAATGTTATAAGGGAGCATTGCGCAACTTTAAACGAGCATGTTCTCTAATAGATTAGCGACGTAACAACGAAATAACGTTAACCGGGACAATGTTAAGTGAGGAGTTACTGTACCTGTTAGTGAGCTGATCAACTTGATATCTGGGAGTGAATTCATTTAAGAAGTGGGTATTCACCCACGAAAGCTCATGTTCCTATACGTCTGTTAGTCTATACGGTGCCACAGGACTCTTTGCTGCTTTTACAGATCCAGACTAACACGGCTACCCCTCTGATACTTGACATTCATTTAAGAAGTTGATTTTCACAATTTAGTAAAATAGATTCTTATCTCTTGGCACATACAGTATTGAATTAAACACAATAAAGCAGCATTTCAGCCTCTCTCATTTCTTTTAACCTGATCAGTTCTGATGTGAATCTATATATAAGTACATATTTAGGTTTCTTATACCTACAATTCTGGCTTGCAATATACAGTGCAATAAGCATTAGGAAATATGCTGCTCTCATTTATACATGTCTGAATTTGGAGAAATTCCATTAAAAATCAATGGAGTAATTACATGTTTACTTTGGTGTAAGAGAGTGCAGAATTTGATCAATTGTTTCAATATTATTTATATTCATTAAAAAAAAAAAAACATACCAAGGACAATGATGGTCCATTTTTAGTACACATCTGAAAAAGAAAAAGTCCATTTCCAATTAATTAAAATAAAAATTAAAGTACAAAATACATTTACTTTCTAATTCAAATATTTGGTCTCAAACTTCCTAAAGCTGTGAAACAAATTTTTAATACCCATTACTTCTACTTTTCAACCCCACACCTTCAGGCAAAGGGCCCATATTATAGCTGTCAGACCTTCTGCCCAGGAGAAGTAGAAGATAGTACTCAAAAAAGCCCATTAATCAGAAAGAGGGGATATTATTGAACTGCACAAGGCACTCTCTGTCTCGATAGACCATAAGGTGCTGTTTTCACTGTACACCAACTCCATCTAACGAAGAGAGGGAAGAGCATCTTCGCAAGCTAACCTAGTGAGGAGGCTGGCTAACCCAGTGAGGAGGGCTTTAAACTAGGTTCGCCGAGGGAAGGAGACCAAAGCCCTGAGGTAAGTGGGAAATGGGATACGGGGAGGAAGCACGAGCAGGAGAGCGTAAGAGGGGAGGACTCCTGTCTCAGACTGAGAAAGCAGGACTATCAGCGAGTTATCTTAAGTGCCTATACACAAATGCAAGAAGCCTGGGAAACAAGCAGGGAGAACTGAAAGTCCTGGCACAGTCAAGGAACTATGATGTGATTGGAATAACAGAGACTTGGTGGGATAAATCACATGACTGGAGTACTGTCATGGATGGATATAAACTGTTCAGGAAGGACAGGCAGGGCAGAAAAGGTGGGGGAGTTGCATTGTATGTAAAAGAGCAGCATGACTGCTCAGAGCTCCGGTATGAAACTGCAGAAAAACCTGAGAGTCTCTGGATTAAGTTTAGAAGTGTGGCAACAAGGGTGATGTTGTGGTGGGAGTCTGCTATAGACCACCAGACCAGGGGGATGAGGTGGACAAAGCTTTCTTCAGGCAACTAACAGAAGTTACTAGATCGCAGGCCCTGGTTCTCATGGGAGACTTTAATCACTCTGATATCTGCTGGGAGACCAATACAGCACTGCACAGACAATCCAGGAAGTTTTTGGAAAGTGTAGGGGACAATTTCCTGGTGCAAGTGCTGGAGGAACCAGCTAGGGGCAGAGCTCTTCTTGACCTGCTGCTCACAACCAGAAAGAATTAGTAGGGGAAGCAAAAGTGGATGGGAACCAAGGAGGTAGTGACCATGAGATGGTCGAGTTCAGGATCCTGACACAAGGAAGAAAGGAGAGCAGCAGAATACAGACCCTGGACTTCAGAAAAGCAGACTTTGACTCCCTCAGGGAACTGATGGGCAGGATCCTCTGGGAGAATAACATGAGGGGGAAAAGAATACAGGAGAGCTGGCTGTATTTTAAAGAATCCTTGTTGAGGTTGCAGGAACAAACCATCCCGATGTGTAGAAAGAATAGTAAATATGGCAGGCGACCAGTTTGGCTTAACAGTGAAATCCTTGCTGATCTTAAAACACAAAGAAGAAGCTTACAAGAAGTGGAAGATTTGACAAATGATGAGGCAGGAGTATAAAAGTATTGCTCAGGCATGCAGGAGTGAAATCAGGAAGGCCAAATCACACTTGGAGTTGCAGCTAGCAAGAGATGTTAAGAGTAACAAGAAGGGTTTCTTCAGCTATGTTAGCAACAAGAAGAAAGTCAAGGAAAGTGTGGGCCCCTTACTGAATGAGGGAGGCAACCTAATGACAGAGGATGTGGAAAAAGCTAATGTATTCAAGGCTTTTTTTGTCTCTGTCTTCATGAACAAGGTCAGCTCCAGACTGCTGCACTGGGCAGCAGAGCATGGGGAGAAGGTGACCAGCCCTCTGTGGAGAAAGAAGTTGTTGGGGACTATTTAGAAAAGCTGGATGAGCACAAATCCATGGGTCCAGATGCGCTGCATCCGAGGGTGCTAAAGGAGTTAGCGGATGTGATTGCAGAGCCATTGGCCATTATCTTTGAAAACTCATGGCGATCGGGGGAGGTCCCGGATGACTGGAAAAAGGCTAATGTAGTGCCCATCTTTAAAAAAGGGAAGGAGGAGGATCTGGGGAACTCCAGGCCAGTCAGCCTCACCTCAGTCCTTGGAAAAATCATGGAGCAGGTCCTCAAGGAATCAATTCAGAAGCACTTAGAGGAGAGGAAAGTGATAAGGAACAGTCAGCATGGATTCACCAAGGGCAAGTCATGCCTGACTAACCTAATTGCCTTCTATGAGGAGATAACTGGGTCTGTGGATGAGAGGAAAGCAGTGGATGTGTTATTCCCTGACTTTAGCAAAGCTTTTGATACGGTCTCCCACAGTATTCTTGCCGGCAAGTTAAAGACGTATGGGCTGGATGAATGGACTATAAGATGGATAGAAAGCTGGCTAGATCGTCGGGCTCAATGAGTAGTGCTCAATGGCTCCATGTCTAGTTGGCAGCCGGTATCAAGCGGAGTGCCCCAAGGGTCAGTTTTGTTCAATATCTTCATTAATGATCTAGAGGATGGTGTGGACTGCATTCTCAGCAAGTTTGCAGACGACATTAACTGGGAGGAGTGGTAGATACGCTGGAGGGTAGAGATAGGATACAGAGGGACCTAGACAAATTAGAGGATTGGGCCAAAAGAAACCTGATGAGGTTCAACAAGGACAAGTGCAGAGTCCTGCACTTAGGATGGAAGAATCCCATGCACTGCTACAGACTAGGGACCAAATGGCTAGGCAGCAGTTCTGCAGAAAAGGACCTAGGGGTTACAGTGGATGAGAAGCTGGATATGAGTCAACAGTGTGCTCTTGTTGCCAAGAAGGCTAATGGCATTTTGGGCTGTATAAGTAGGGGCATTGCCAGCAGATTGAGGGACGTGATCGTTCCCCTCTATTCGACATTGTTGAGGCCTCATCTGGAGTACTGTGTCCAATTTTGGGCCCCACACTACAAGAAGGATGTGGAAAAATTGGAAAGAGTCCAGCGGAGGGCAACAAAAATGATTAGGGGGCTGGAACACATGACTTATGAGGAGAGGCTGAGAGAACTGGGATTGTTTAGTCTGCAGAAGAGAAGAATGAGGGGGGATTTGATAGCTGCTTTTAACTACCTGAAAGGGGGTTCCAAAGAGGATGGATCTAGACTGTTCTCCGTGGTACCAGATGACAGAACAAGGAGTAATGGTCTCAAGTTGCAGCGGGGGAGATTTAGGTTGGATATTAGGAAAAACTTTTTCACTAGGAGGGTGGTGAAGCACTGGAATGGGTTACGTAGGGAGGTGGTGGAATCTCCTTCCTTAGAGAGGTTTTTAAGGTCAGGCTTGACACAGCCCTGGCTGGTATGATTTAGCTGGGAATTGGTCCTGCTTTGAGCAGTGGGTTGGACTAGATGACCTCCTGAGGTCCCTTCCAACCCTGATATTCTATGATTCTATGATTCAGCATTATCATTTGAGGAGGAAAAAAGTCAACATTCAGAATTGATTTTAATAACCAGCATGCCTTACAGCTGCTGTGGATAGTATGGGAAATATGGTAACCTGGCACTCAACTTAATCAATCTGATCAAAATGCTTGATAGAAAAATAACTTTGGGATAGAGAGGAGGAAGATGGAAAAATATATAAATCGATAGTTCCAATGGTCTATATTCCATTTTCTCCCAACTTTAGTATAGCATGGCCAAAGGGTAGTAATTCCAGACAGACACATGCATTCATCAGATTTCTTAATTAAATAGATCTACCCAAGCTCAGTCACTGAAATCTATTAACAATTTATTTCCCAGTCTTAAGTGGCTTGTAAGAACAGATTTTGCAGGTGGAGCAGAATGTGCTTGGTGGATAACACTAATACCTCTGAAGTTACGAAGACCTGTAATGCTACTGTAGCTCTCCCGAAACAAAGTTGTTACTACCACAGCATGCTTGTGCCTGACAGCTAGGGAAGCAAGGTAGGTTCCATGCACAGAAGTTTCTGTTGGCATATATATCACAGTCCAGACCCACTTCACTCTCCAGTACTGATCCTTCAGACTGAACACATTTTACAAAGCTAGAAGCACATTTAGGACAAATCCTGCCCCATTCTCCATGGTGCAGAGGGCCCCATATGCAGAAGACCAGTTGCAGTTCCAGCAGAGGGAAAGGCAGAGATTTGCACGTCTTACATGAAGCCCAGGCTCTGTGGGCTGGGAGAGGGACAGAGATAGTAGATCTACCATTATGCAGTTCCACTGGCGAGCAATAAAAATAAGGCACAAGTATTCAAAATGAGAATTTAAACAATAGATCATCACAGCTACTTACAGGTCACATGCAGAACAGTGGTGACAGCGGTCAGGCTTGATTAGTTGGCATCTATCACAATATCTGATTGCTATGTTCAAATTTTAAAAGTCAATCTGTTAAACAGGTCTTTGTAAAATTAAATTACATACACACAGAAGTTTCCAATGTTCAAGAGACTGTTTCAAGGACATCTCCCCTCCCACTTCCATTCTGAATCGCATAAGATTGCTGTGGCAACTACAACAATTGCTTACAGAAAAATGTAACATGAAAGTATTTAGTGTAGCAGTATCTGTTTCTACTGTAATAAATGCTTTTTCAACTCTTCCTCTTCATTTAATCTGTTCCTCAGTCTCCCCTCCCCTGATCCTCCAGCACATGCTTCCCTGCCACTTGATTTCCTTCTCCTCTGGATATACTACCCAGACACCAGGTCCTCTTCTCCCCATGTGCCTCTTGACATACTCCCCAAGCCTTAGTCCTCTCCTAGTCCTTGAGGGGGGCTCATATTTCTCTCCTATTCTGCTGACGTGGTATCTAGCAGATACAGTTAGGCTGGCTACTACTTCTTCTCAGCAGTTGCTTTTAACAGGCCTCCAGACTCTTCTTGATACAAAGGCGGCACACATCTGTAGAGGCAGCTATAAAGAAGGAGAAAAGCCACCACCACCAGGCAGCTCTGTGCTGACAACCAGCAAGTGCCCCACAGACCACCAATGGCCCAGGAACCATAGTTTGGGAATCACTTAAATGCAAAATGAATTTACTCAAGATAACCATTAACAAATCTCATGACTTACTATTAAGTGATAAGAGAGACAAGGTGAGTGAGGTATATTTTTTATTGGACCAACTTCTATTGGTAAGAGACACAACAGAAGTTGATTCAATAAAAGATATTACCTCACCCACCTTCATCTCTCTAATATCCTGGGACTGACATGGCTACAACCACACTGCATATTAAATGGTATAACATTTGTAACTTCTATTAAAAAGAACCATAGGTCTTGGGAGCAATCAATAACACCACTAGTTTTAGAGTAGTAATGCAGTTATAGAAATCTAGCTATATTGTATTTAGGCATCAGAGAAAGTCATTTAACAGTCTCTCATGATATTTTCAGAGAAATTACAATAGTATTACTTAAAAATAGTGAAGGTAAAGACAGAAATAGCTGAATGATCATAAACATAATGATTAAACAGCTCTGTCCTGAGAGTTATAGCTGATATTGGAAGAAGAATTTACTGGCATTTTAGCTTCCATAGCCTCAATTCTGACACTGTAGTGAAAGTAAATTCAAGCCTTAAATGTTCATACTTAGAGGACCAAAGCAATAATTGGGATTAAATAGAAATGAATATAAAAAACTCAGCCTTCCAACTCTGTTCCTTTAGTCTATGTAAGATTATTATAAGCAGAGTGCAAGATAAATATTTTCATGCTGAATTTATTTTGCAAAACAGGATCTTTTTTGAGAAAACTGTTCTATTTATTGGCTGCTTGTAGAGATCCACAGACAAAAAAGAACTCTGGCATCTCATGGGGAAATATGAAGTCATGGCCTTTTGCAGAAATTATTTAGCAGACGGTTCACACAGCAACATCAAAATAAATCTCATGAATTGGACTAGGAGCTTTTGGACAACTGGACTTGTCTGCATGCCTCACCCCTTGATGCTGTTGTGGTATAGATAGGTAAGTCTTTAGCAGCTCTTCTCAAAATGTCCTGCTGGGATTCTGGTCTCTCTTCTCTTTCATATTGTTCTTTATCAGATTTTGATAAGCAGAACTGCAAGAGGGGGACAGAAGAATAGTTTTTAACTGCATGACCAATCAAGGTTTATGTTGTTTGAATACTTTACCCCTAAAGAAGCAGCAATATCTGCCTATCATCTTACCAAACAGAGGAGAAAAAGTAGTAAATGATAGGAGGTACAGCAAGAATTGTCCCCCACACATTCTGAAATTACATGATTGATCCTTTGTAACAAAACTTTAAAATGCTAAATTTAAAGGAACTGTCTTTGTCCTAGTTCCCACCACTCGATTTCCCTTTGCGATACAAGATTACAAGATGAAGACTTGTACTCAGTGGCGTTTTATGAAGGTGCAAACTTCTCTTGAAACCATGGGTCTAAACCCTGTCCCAGAGGTGCTTGGGGATCCCAGGAGTTCAGAGGGCTCTGCAATAACAGAGGGGGGAGGAATAGCTCAGTGGTTTGAGCACTGGCCTGCTAAACCCAGGGATGTGAGTTCAATCCTTGAGGGGGCCATTTAGGGATCTGGGGCAAAAATCTGTCTGAGCTCCCAGCAGGAATCCCTGAAGGTGCCCTTTTCTTTCTATATGCACTACTCAGTGTCTCCACACCCACTCCAGTGAGGAAAAGATGCAAACTGGATTAAGGGTTTATCATTTTAACCATGTTGTACTTCTTGATTAGTTCATGTGGGTTTTTCTTGGGCCCTGTAACGAACCATGTTGTACTTCTTGATTAGTTCATGTGGGTTTTTCTTGGGCCCTGTAACGTCCCCTTCTTTTCGAATTCACCAGAGTCTAAGTGGTTGAGGAGGGAGTAATAATAGGGACAAGTGAAGAAATGGTACCTCTCCTACTACAGGAAGAGTAGGAGAGATTGCTGTTGCCTCCCCATGTTACTTCTTAAATCCAGAAGGCTGAAGATTCAACCCACATCCCGCAGTAGTCAGGCAAGATTCCACTGCTGTATGCAGTATTGCCAGCTCCAATTTTTTAAAAGTCATAAAATGTCAGTTTCCAAAAATTATGAAATTGGCTTCAAATCATGAATTTAAAAAAGAATAAATATATCTTGTATTCTTTTTATTTGCCTTTGGGGGTATCAGGGTGCATTTGGGTCATGTTTTAAAGCTTTTCTCCACAACCACAAGGGCTAGAAACTTACTTTTTAAAAAATAAAGGCAGATTCTCACATAATTATTTGCCTACAGGAGACAGGGCTTTAAGTAAAATATCAAATATTGTGAGAGTTGGCAACACTGTATAAGTACGAGAAGTGCCGTAGTACACTTTTGCTGCTGCCTCTCAGGAGGCCTTGTCAAGCTAGGAGAAGTCTGCTTGGTGTCTTCAACCCCGGGCCAGAGAAGTGGGAAATTAACTAAGAGAGTAAAACTAGCCTTAAAACACTACTTAACAGACACAGCTAAACAAGACATCCAACTAATGCATAGAAAAAACCCTAAACCTCTAAAATCGGGTGGTTTTAATTTTTTTTAAAGTTGTCCTGTAACCATAACAAATTGGCTAACAAACGTTCAATTTCCCCAAAAAGTTATGTTTACATTATTATGTCTATTGACTATTAATGGGGTCACAAGTCTACCCTCTCTTTGGGCAACAGATGCAAATGTTCAAAGGGATGAAAGTTACCGATCAACAAAACAATTGTGACAAAATTTCAGCAGTTCTTAATGTAAACAGTAACAAAGAGCCCCTTTGTTTCCTTCCTCTCTTTCTGGGATCTCACATAATGTTGATTGTTCTTCCTTATTATAAAATGTGCAGGGATTACACTTGCACAATAACAGGTGTGAAATCTTTTTTTAGTATATTAGTAAAATCACAGGATGCCACTCATTTTACAAGAATGGGTATTTAAAATAATAAGATTACGTGAAAATGTATACATTTATGTTTTAAAACAATTGGAAAAAATTAAGTGGGAACAGTTTAGAGACAATACTATATTCTTCCCTGGTGCCTGAACGGAGATGACAGACAGAGACTGTGGGAGAAGAGTGCTCAAAGGAGGAACATGGCTTTTGGATAAGCTCATATGTAGAAATTTTCCAATTCAGACCTGATTTTATCAACACTTAAAATGGCCGCACTCTTTTTAACTCTCTGCTACTCACTGAAAGTTGAAGCCTTGCTGCAGCTTTTATTAGTTAGTTATAAATAGATGTTGGCAGACAGAAGTATCCAAGCGAGCACCAAAATAATTATAAAATACACTGATGCTTAAGCTAAGTTCATGTGGTTCTACAAATCTTGGAGCAGCTGACCGGTTGAGATAACTGTTGGATCTGCCAAGTGTTTTGTCATTATCATACAGAACAGGCACCAATTAAACCAGTCATATGATTTGAAGGCCAGCCTCCGTAGTGAATTTACAACTTAAAAATATTCAGTACTACTTCCTTTGCTCAGCTAACCAGCAGAGCTCTCTCTTCAGCTTCCTCTCCGACTCTACTGTAGATTTCTGTGACACTTTATAGATACATATTATAGAACTACAGTGTCTGATTTTCCATTGCACATATGTTTTCGCCTGTACAAATTTGCTTCGGGCTAAATGCTGGCATTGAGAGAGTCATCCCTGCCAAAAATAGAATAAAAAAATGTGTGTTTAGCCAGCTTTAAAATTACAGGAAATAGAGGGACAATTTCAATTGTAGTTTTGATATTAAGCCTATAGATCAATTGACTTACAGGAAAAAAATAAAAGCCATCAGGTTATAGGTTAATTCACCTAATAGATTCCTTGGAGAGATGATTATATTACAATTACCTCTGTCAATAAAGCTAGCACTTTTTATGTCAGTGTTTAGAGATTTCTTTCTATATTGATTTAACAGTGCTCGCCACACCTTGAGCTTCTAAACAGACTTATCACTGAGCATTACAGTCCTCTTAATGTTACGAATATTTATTGTAACCTATCCTTATCCAAAGAAACGTCACTGAGAGAGTTCAAATAAGGGTGTATAATGAAAATATATACAGATTGAGTCACTGAGCTAGTTATGTCTTAACTTATATTTAGTTTTGGCAGAATTAATTTTAAATTTTTTTATAATTTTGACAGATAATATTGATGTTTATTTCTAAGCATTTTTCAATTTTTATTGATGTAAATTTTCACAGTTGCACAAAATTATTGGTTTTAAGCATTTTTTAAAAATCAATTTACATTTTCACAGTTGTGGGAAACTAGGGGCGGCGTCAGACAGTAATTAATGATACACTGATAGAGAGGTTGGGAGCTTGGTGGGTGGCCTACTGGTTAGTGCATCTGACATACAATCCCTTGTCTCTTTGTTGGGGGAGTGGATGCCTGGTTCCTGACCCCAGGTCAAGAGTGTTGGGGCCTTTCCCCTCTGTCTGGGACTTTTCTTTTAAGTTGGCCATAATACGGGGACCTGGCCCCTTCCTCTCCACCGGGTCCCAGCCCAGAGCCCTTTGGGAAGTAACATCGGCAGGTTCTTCCCTGTACAGAGCCCAAGTCTGCTGCCCTGGGCTAGTGCTCCTTCACTTTGGGGCATGACCCCGCTAGTCCAAACAGTCAATAGCTTCACAAAGTCCAAATGAGCTGGGCCTTGCAAAACCTGCTTGTTCTCCAAGTGGGTGGTGGTTGGAGAAGGCACTGCCTGGGGCCTAACCCGCTTTGTGGTCCCCTCTGAAGGCTCCACCTTCTGTCTGGCATTCCGGAGAAGGATTCTTCTCTCCTGCAACCCATCCACCCTTTGCCTGGGCTTCTGAGCTCCTTTTAACCCACTCCTCCCATTGCACATGCTCAACAGGCCTATAAGGACAGGGTTGCCTGGGCCTAGTATAGCCTTTTAACCCCTTCAGGCCCAGTGTGGGGTTTGTATACCCCAGTAGGCAACATATGGCATGCGTGCCGAAGGCGGCACGTGAGCTGATTTTCAGTGGCACTCAGACTGCCCGGGTCCTGGCCACCAGTCCAGAGGGCTCTGCATTTTAATTTAATTTTAAATGAAGCTTCTTAAACATTTTAAAAACCTTATTTACTTTACATACAACAATAGTTTAGTTATATATTATAGACTTATAGAAAGAGACCTTCTAAAAACATTAAAATGTATTACTGGCACACGAAACCTTAAATTAGAGTGAATAAATGAAGACTCGGCACACCGTTTCTGAAAGGTTGCCGACCCCTGGTATACCGCATTCTACAGGCATTGGGATTCAAAAAGTTAAAGCTTTATAAACAAATTGTCAATGTCACGTGTCAAAATACACAAAGTAAATATCATTCAATCAACCTCACGTTCTCAAGTAGCATTTTTCTTCCTTTTCCTATCTGTACATTTTGATTAATTGATGGAAATATTTTTAGTCAGATTGTGTGTGTATGGTGAAATCAACGTTTACCAACATTTACCCATAAAAACGAATCCTTCCAAGCCTACTTATATTTTATTTATTCTAAACACCAAACTGAAGTTATTGCTTAGCAAAACATTGTAGTGTTATATATACTCACATACCTTATTACTTGAACATATACACCTGAATGTCAAACTTGTGACCACTTAGAAACAAGCATTCAATCTGAAAAAATTTCATTAGGTTACGATGATTTTCAAAGTAATTTAATTATTTACATTCATGATATGGCAGCATGCTATTTATTTCAGTTAATGGGAACAGAGAAGATGAATTACATTGTACTTTAAATAAGTATCACTGCTGAAAACAGTTCAATGGTATAATAAGTGTTGGCATTTTTCCATCATTAAATTTACCTCATCGGAGGGGGAAGCAGGAGTTGTAAAAATCGTCTTCCAATAGGACCATACAAACATGACAAATGACAGATGAAAAACCACAAGGTAGACAACTGCAATAAAAATAAATACAATAAGATTTCAGTGAGTATAGCTGAAAAGACCTAGAACTAGAACATAAAAATGCAATGGTTTTGGGTGTAGATAAGTTATTTCTCTTCTGCAAGCCAGTAAGATAAATTGCACTGAAACCCACTGGATAATTAGGAATACTAGCACATCTGAGTGGGCTTAGCCCTATAAAGAAGTTGTCTAAATCCACTTGATAGCCCACCAGATATGATGAGTACTACTTCAGCCTCAGAATGAATCATTTAATAGGCTACTAAAATAATGATGATCAAAATCTTGGTCATGAAGTAATTTCCCCACTTATACTCCCACTTTTTTACAATTGAATGAGCCTCATCATGACAGCAGCAACCCACAACTTTAGAAACATACCTTCATTCCCATGTACCCACCCTCAGGAAAATTAAAATAAAGTGTCTGATGTCTGGAATAGCAAAATAAAAAAGCTGGAAGTATACATTTAAATTATCTTGACAGACAGGCCACATATATTTCAGTTGGTTCGATTACTAAATTCAGTCCATGTACAGTATAATATATTGTCAGCAAATGAAGTAAATGATACCAGAACAGTGAAAACACTCAAGTTAATGTAAAATTTGGGTTATGCAATAGATATACACCTCTACCTCTATATAACGGTGTCCTCGGGAGCCAAAAAAATCTTACCGCGTTATAGGTGAAACCGTGTTATATCGAACTTGCTTTGATCCACCGGAGTGCGCAGTCCCGCCCCCCCGGAGCACTGCTTTACCGCATTATATCCGAATTTGTGTCATATCGGGACGCGTTATATCGAGGTAGAGGTGTATCTTATAAAGTCTAAGCATTGCACTAAAAAAATTTTACATGCCAGTATTATAACTATATTTTATTATTACTAGGTGTTGGAAAGGGGTTGTAAATAATATTAAAATGTAAATGTACCTGTACTGTAATTCAAACAAGGTAAACATTAATCACATTTGGATTTTGCTGTAGTATTTAATATACTAGGCTCCCACTCTGATTCCATCTTGGAAAAGCTATTCTTTATACTTATAATAAAGGGTTGGGGACTAGATAATGGGAATTCTTGATGTAACATCTTATTTCTGTATGAACATTTGTGATAGTGAGAACTTCTGCCTTTCTGATTATTTTTTATCTGTATAACTCTTGGTGCCTTCTCTGCCTCCACCTGCCAAATAGAACTGTAGACTCAGCACTGTCACAGCCATAGTGGAAAGTAGGAACTGCTGGCCTTTAACACAAAATGGACTCCATTTCTTTTAATGGTGCTGACCTCAGGAAAAGGTGTAGCTAATTTCAAGATATGTTATGATATGTTTATGATTAGTTAACAGTGTCTGGGAGACTCATGAGAACTGGATGACCCAACTTCTCCTTAGGGTTGCAAAATAAAGTATTTCTAGGCTCTCTTCTGGATTAAAGGGAAGCATCAGCACTGTAGACAACTCGTGGTCAGGTTCCTGAAAGAATTGGATATAATTTCATGTGCAAAAGCAGAAGCAGGACCCTTGTGTCAGAAGATGAGAGATTTGTTCTCTGGTGTTAATATACCACAGGGCAATATCAAAATCATTTAATGGGAGCTATCATCTCTAGCATTTTGGGAGGAGGGGAAGGAAACCAAGAAGCAGTTGGCCACTGATCTGTAGCATGAAGCAGACACACATATAGACCACAGCCATTCTTGGTAGGAATTAAATCAGAGATTTATAAATGGATTCGTGGTACTGGAAAAAGAGAATCCATTGGGTGATTTGAAGCCATCACAGGAGATTGAGCAAGTGCTTAAAATGACATGATGAATATAGCACCACAGATTATGGTGCTTGGGTTAATGATGGTGGACAGGGCTGAACAAAGTCATGATATCCAAGACTAGTTTGACCAGTTTCTACTTCTCTGTAACATCTTGTGAAGAACATTTATCTAGATCAGTGGTCATCAACCGGTCGACTGCGATCGACTGGTCGATCCTAGAGGATCTCTCAGTTGATCGCCATCTCCGGCGGCGCAGCGGGGCTGCCGCTAAGACAGGCACCCTGCCTACCCCAGCCCCACGCTGCTCCTGGAAGCGGCCAGCATGCCCCACGGCCAGGGGTCTCCCTCTGTACGCTGCTCCTGCCTGCAAGCACCACCCCCGCAGCTCCCATTGGCCAGGAACGGGGAGCTATGGCCAATGGGAGCTGCAGGGGTGGTGCTTGTAGAGAGGGGCAGCGTCCAGAACCACGTGCTGCTCCCTGCCCCCAGGGGCACGTTGGCCCCTTCCGAGAGCAGCATGGGGCCAGGGTAGGCAGGGAGCCTGCCTTAGCAGCAGCCACGCTACACCACCGACTGGGAGCTGCTGGAGGTTAAGTGCTGCTCGGCGGGAGGCCGCACCCCAACCCCTAGCCCTGAGCCAGCACCCTGAATCCCCTCCTACACCCCGAACCCCATGCCCCAGCCCTTCCCCCCTCCCAGAGCCAGTACCTTGTACCCCTTCCTGCACCCCAACCCCCTGGCCCAGCCCTGATCCCCCTCCCAGAGCCAGCACCCTATACCCCAACACACTGCCCCAGACCAGAGCCCCCTCCTGCACCAAATTCCCTCCCAGGGCTTGCACCCCTCACCCCCTCCTGCACCCCAACCCCCTTCCCTAGACTCAGCCCAGAGCCCCCTCCCACACAGCGAACTCCTCATCCCCAGCCCAAACCCCTACCCCAGCCCAGTGAAAGTGAGTGAGGGTCAGGGAGCGTGAGTGACGGAGAGAGGGGGGAAATGGAGTGGGCGGGGCTTTGCGGACGGGGCGGGGCAGAGCCTGGGTTGCCCTTAAATTCAAAGTGATCTTGGGCATAAAAAGGTTGGCGATCACTGCTCTAGATAGATGAAGGCAGAACTCATCGTACGCTGATGTGTGGCATCTTGTGGAAGTTGAAAATAATTGGCCACTGATTAGATGTCAAAATTTAGTACCGTGCTATTTTAAATGCGATAGCAATGAATAACACTAAATTAACACAACTAACAGCAGTAAGATAAGAGCATTTGATTAGAGCAGTGGTCCCAAAACTGTGGGGCGGAGGAATATTCGGGAGGAGTGCGCAGCATAGCCAGCCCCCACGGGGGGCAGGGACGAAGCACCACCCAGCCCCACTCTGCCCCCAGCTCTGGCCCCAGCCCCCAGTGGGGCATAGACAGAGTCCATTATGGGTAAGGGGGGGCATGACATAAAAACTTTGGAGACCACTTGATCAGAGTGAGGCGATTCCAGGATCTGACCCGAGGTGGGAGCTGAGAATACAAGGAAACAGGAAAAGAGGGGTCTCCCTTTAAACTGCTGACATGTTTATACCATAAGGAGAATGCACTGATACATTCAGCTTCTTGCTAGGCTAACTTTAACAGTTCTTAGGTCTGCATGTCATATGTTTTAAGAATGGAGATCTACACAGGCAACATCACTGAGGATGTAAGAATACCTGAAGATGAATGTAGAGCTTATACAGTGCAAACTGGTCAGACATCCTTACTGGATAATGGAAGAAAAATGACTGGACCTTCCTTCCTGACAAAAACTGTCCCTGGGAATTGAAGAAGCCATTAGAAATCAGGCGAGCAACATACTTGACGTGTGGACCTGGGGACAGTTAGCAATGCTCCAGTGCAGCACATGACCTACGCCTCATACCAGAAGTAAACAGGAACCACTGACTGTTGGTATGATGCAGAAAGACTCCAAAAGGCTTTTACAAACAGGGAGAAAGACCAACCTTAAGGACCTATATGAGCAAAGCAACTAAGCTAACTCAAGACTGTAGCCTAAGTTGTTCCAGCATATCTAGCTAGTCAAAGAAATCAAAGTACTGAATCATCAAGCTGCTGTGACTCAAGCAGCATCAAGGCAAGATATCCTCTAACTGACTTTGAGCACCAAGTACACTCCTTTCTAAGAAGATACACGAACTACTTTAACCCAAATTAAGCTAAGAGACAGAGAAACCAAGGAGTGGTCCAGCTTGTCAGTCTCCCATTGAATTCCCTTCCCCATCAGATGAAATTAGGCTGAAGTAATGTTAACAGCAGCAAAACTGCAGCCATGAGGAAGGAGACAGTTATTTGACTTCATTGCTCTTCACCAGCCTAAATCCTATTCCATTTCCCAAGAGGCACATTTCCAATCTAAACAGCGTTGGAAGATACTGGAACACTAATTAGCAGGTGTGTCAATGCCACCTAAATCCTGAAATTGTCACCCCCCACAGGCATTCCATTTACTATATTCATACCTTACTATGCAAGATTCTTAAAACTAGCCACTATGAACGGCTGCTCCCACCTACTTTTGAGATTAAACAGCTGTGTGGCGTCAGGCAGCAAACTTCTTAAAATGAGGAAGTAACATCAAACATTTATGTCATCTTCCCTTCCAAGAAGGGGGAAGCTTGACCTACTTTGCTATGCTGATATAGAAATAAACATTTAAAGAAGCTATATTTAATGTTTCAAGGATGGCATGAAGTAGACAGTAAGCTTGCGGCACTTCCACCTGCTCCAAACAATGCGCGCACACACACACACACACTTTGGATAGGGCCACACTTAACTCCCAAAGGGGGAGAGAGGGTATGTTGTTCAGGGCCGGCTCCAGGGTTTTGGCCGCCCCAAGCAGCCAAAACAAAAAAAAAAAAAACCAAAAAAAACCGCGATCGCGATCTAAAAAAAGCCGCGATCGCGATCTGCGGCGGCAATTCGGCGGGAGGTCCTTCACTCCCAGGCGGAGTGAGGGACCGTCCGCCGAATACCTGGAACGGCCGCCCCAAGCACCTGCTTGAGAAGCTGGTGCCTGGAGCCGGCCCTGATGTTGTTGTGCACAACATGAACCTTAACCTAAGCTTCCTCATGCACTTGGCTGTTCCTCGGGTCTTTCCTAATAGGGCACTTCTGCCCCTGCCCCTATCTCCCTTGCCTTAGGCTTTGTCTACACTGGCAAATG